TAAAATATGTACATCAAATTTCTTAGTAATATAAATTTCTTTTGCATTACTTATGAAATTTTGTTAAAAAAAGGATATTTTATGAAAAATTACGAAATTTTTTTTCGTTTTTAGTATTTTTGGATCCAAAATTAGTTGTAAGCTGAATTAATTGTCTTTATTTTGACATCATTAGTTTTTGAATCGGTTATATAGATCATAAGATCTTAATGGCTATGGCGTTATAGTGTGGCACCACTAACTGAATACGGTGTTGGCCATAAGGTTGGTTGGAACAGATTTTTTATATGGTTATGGTTATGTCACCACTATTTCAACCTTAAAACTAGCAGAATATTGTTCTGCGCTTAATGGCGGCTAACAGTGCAATGTAGGGATGTCAGTGGAAAAAATACATCGATGTTATTCCTCGCATCAATGCATCGAAACTTACATCGATATTTGTCGATGCATCGGAGGGCGTACATCGATGCATCGATACGCATAGAGTTTTACTCCACTATGGAAATAAAATATGAAGAACCTTTTTCGGTATGTACTAGTTTTATAGCTCATATAATTTTAGTATAACAAAGAGGCAAGTCAGCCAAAGAAAAAATATTAAAAATTAAAGCAATTGAAACTTGCACTTTATTATACTAACATTTTATGAGCTATAAAACTGCATCTTCCTCTCTATGAACTTCAGACAAAGCGATGTTCGGCAAACATCGATGCATCGACGCCTCTATGCATCGACTATTTATATACATCGAGTGGAAAATTTTCGATGCATCGAAGCAAAACATCGGTATTTTCGATGCATCGATGGTTTTTCGGCATCCCTAATGCAATGTCATGTCTGTCATGTTCGTATCGTTCTCGTCTCTCCCGCCTTTCGTTAAATAAATAGTTCGATCAATTATATTTCCGTATTCGTTCTCTACACCTTTTTCAGTTTTAGTTCAGATAGTTGCAATTTAAATTCAGAAAGTTACAATAAGTTCTGAATTTCTATTCCAAATTCAGAATTTCCATTTCAAAATCAGAAAATTACAATTCATATTCAGAATTTCCATTTTAAATTCCGAAAGTTGCAATTTAAATTCAGAAAGTTACAATTTATATTCAGAATTTCCATTTCAAATTCAGAAACTTTCATTTCAAATTCAGAAAATATCAAATTAAATTCAGAAAACTTTTTATTTTAAATTGGATGAAAAAGTATTCCTAAACAACGAGTGTCAGTTTAACCACGGACCGTAACGGCTATGATCCTTGTGATATAAATCATAATTAAATTTTCATAATTGGACTTGTACTTTTTTCGATAAAATTTAACCGTTTTTACAAGTGTTAATTTAACTTGCTCTGTATGTATGTGTGATTGCTAGGGGCAAATTTTGCAATCAATTTTCGACCAACTTCCAGATGACCTAGAGACTTGAAACTTCACAGTTGGCTCAGAGCCCGATGACAATCCAATACAAAATATGAGTTAATCCGATAGGTGGTGCAGGAGTCGAGATATTTGAAAACCCCGTATTTATAGTCCGATTTTTTCATATTTAGAACGTATACTATCTATGAAAAGGAAAAATTTTGCCGATACGTGGCGCACGAGTCGATATATTTGGTAAACGAGTATTTATGGTCCGATTTGGTTCATATTTAGAAAGCTTGCTTTAAAAATATTAACTTATTTTTTTTCTGTTTTGAACCCATCATAAGAATCCATCTTTATCATTAACAAAATTAAATAGGACAAAACAAATATAACCAAAAATTTAAAACGTTGTGCCACAATCACTTTTGTGTTAGAAAAGTTCTCCAAATCGAACAGTGCATACGAAATATTCTGAACTTAAATTAAACACATTAAAGAATTGGTCCAAGTTTAGCACTTAGTTTTTCAGTTTATTTTCATATAGTGAAAAAGGTAACAACGCAATACAAACAATAAGATAATGTTTTGTGTGGCAAGTAGGTAGGTAAGTAAGACAAAGCTTTTATTTGTTTTTATAGGCTTCGTGGATCTATTATTTGCAGTTTCAAGTTAAATGAAATTTTCTTCTAAATTTTGAAACTTTTATTAAAAAAGAACAACGAATAACATCTAAACAATTAGCAAACATGGTAAACATATGTAAATCATTTAAAATATAGCAAAAAGAATATTTGAAAAAATTTTGTTTTTTTATACATATGTACATATATGAAATGATTTGCATATGTTTACAACGTTTATCGCTTATATGTTATTTCTTGTTGGTTTTTAATAAGGGTTTTCGCTCTTGGTGAAACTAAGGATTAGCCTTCTAAGCATAGGTTACAAGGTCTTATCGAGCGTATTGTGGGACAGACTGAAGCCCACCGTCAATGAACTGATTGGGCCTTATCAGTGTAGCTTTAGGCCTGGAAAATCCACCAGGTTTTCACAATACGCCACATCTTGGAAAAGACCCGCGAGAAAAGAATCGACACTCACTACCTATTTGTCGAATTTAAAGCCGTCTCGACAGCACTTAAAGAAGTTGCCTATACGCCGCTATGTCTGAATTTGGCACAACCGCCAAACTGATACGGCTGTGTAAAATGACTTTGAGCAATACCACCAGCTCCGTCAGAATTGGGAAAGACCTCCCCGAGCCGTTCCCCACCAAAGAGGGTTTCAGACAGGGCGACTCCCTTTCATGTGACTTGTTCAATCTGATGTTGGAGAAGATAATAAGAGCTGCAGAACTGAACTGCTCAGGATCAATTTACTACAAGAGGGTGCAAAAACCGCGAAGGCTGTTCTGCCTTTTCCAAGTTGGATAAGGAAGCAAAGCGAATGGGTCTGGTGGTAAACGAGGATAAGACGAAGTATCACTTGTCATCAACTCGTCACTGCTGACAGTTATAATTTCGAGAAAGTAGAGAATTTCGTTTACTTGGGAACCAGCATTAACACCGATAATAATGTCAGCATGGAAATCAAACGCAGAATCACTCTTGCCAACAAGTGTTACTTTGGGCTGAGTAGGGGATCGGGAGTAAAGTCCTCTCTCGACGTACGAAAACCACGCTCTATAAGTCACTCATCATGCCCGTGCTGGTATATGGCGCAGAAGCATGGACAATGAAAACATCCGCGGAAGATTTACGGGCCTTCACGCGTTGGCGACGGCGAGTACCGCAGACGATGGAACGATGAGCTGTATGAGCTTTACAACGACATGGACATAGTGCAGCGAATTAAAATACAGCGGCTCCGCTGGCTTGGCCATGTCGTTCGAATGGATACCGACGCTTCAGCTCTGAAAGTATTCAACTCGGAACCCGCCGGTGGTAGCAGAGGAAGAGGGAGGCCTCCACTGAGATGGAAAGACTAGGTGGAGAAGGACTTGGCTTCACTTGGCATTTCCAATCGGCGTCAGTTGGCACAGAAAAGAAACGACTGGCGTGCTTTGTTGAACTCGGCCAAAATCGCATAGACGGTTACAGCCATGGTTGCCGTTTCCAATTTATCCGGTCCAAAAAATTTACCAAATGGTAAAAAATTGACCAATTTCTATAACACCGGGAAATTGAGTGGAGTTTGTTGCTCTTTATCAAGAAAATATACCAATTACGTTTTTTACATATTGCGTACAAAGTGCATTACAATCGTATATTATAATATTTACCTATAAGGATAAATTGAATATACATACATATTAATAAAGAAATAAAGAACACACTTTCAGGTACACACATGTACTTACAAGTTTTCAAAACTATAATACATGAATTCAAAGGAACATTTAAATTGAACATTAAATTGAAATTAGCAAGAACCTGCGGAATAACCTAAGCATTGTGAAATGGACCATTTGAAAAAGCATTGGACCAATGGACCAAACGAAAAAAGATGGACCAAAACGGCAACCGTGGTTACAGCGCCAAATAAGAAGAAGAAGTCGCCCAAAAATGGGAACAGATATGCTGACAGCTGAGTAGTGTTACCAGAAGGAACAAATAAATCAAAGGCAGTACAGGGTGTTCCATAACACATTAAACTAAATTAGTTGGCCAAATAGTAATAGAAGTTAGTAAAATATAATATAGAAAACAATTGAAATAAAATTAAAAAAGTAATATAACACAATAAAATAATTGCAAATAAAATAAAAAAATATAAAGAACAAGTAATTTTTAGCAAAAAAAAACCGACTTAAAAAATATATATATAACTATATATTTCATGGTCCAATGATCGGAACCCAAATTAGTATGGGACCACCTCTGAGACACTACCTTTCCGTTGCAAAAAGAATTATTCAAATCGGTTGGCGTGGTGCAAAGTTATGCGGTAACATACATAAAAATAAAAAAAAATAAAAATATTCCGACGAACTGATAACCTCCTCCTTTTTTGGAAGTCGGTTAATAAAAATAAAATAATTTAAATTAAATTAAATATAAAAATAATAATAGTAGTAGTAAATAAATAAAAATAAAATAAAATAAATATATACGGCTCATTCCATGTCAAATCACCCAGGCCGGGGGAAAGTGAATTTAAGTTTGCGGTAAAACTCACAGGGATTGTTCCTTGAACAATTTAAGGAGACACGTATTTTTTCTTTTTGCTCAGAAATGCGAATTTTTCGAATAATGAATTTTTTTCTTTTTGAGTACGAACGCTTCTTTTTTCCTCTCTTAATAGCAACTTTTGATGAAATCGCTTATAACTGCCGCAAAAAAGCAAGGATTTTAACGATTTTTTTTAAATTGCAGATATTGATCTACTGAATCGATCTAGTGAACTAAAAATCAGTAATTGTTTGTTAATAATTAATTATTGTTTATAAACAAAAAAATTTTTTTTCAACTTGATTTTTTTCAAATTGCCACATCTTTTTTTCAAACTTTTTTGTCTATTAGGGAATAG